AGCACTGTATATGTTTAAAAACAGAAAGAATGAATATTCTCACAGCAGCTGTTTGTCTAAAGTGTTCTCCTGCAGTCTCAGTGAAGTTTAGTTTCTCAAGTTTCTCTCTCAGTGAGTCACACTGAGTCCTAAACCACATCTACAAGCCTGCGCCACCTTAATGAAGAGCTGGAGGTGGTTTGAGTCTTTGGAATGTTTTATCGCGTATTGTGAAGATGGCAGTATTCATTTTTTTCACCTTCGTGCCGCTCCAGCTCTCCTTTGAGTGCTGCGATAGGAAGTTATTTACATCAGGCCTCGAGCTGACCACACCCAGACGATAAGAGTATTTTACAGAGCTGCTCATTCACCAGGGTTTCAGATGAAATCCAAACGCTGCAGAGCTCTGCTAACGTTGCACACACTAAAAATGCAGCATTCATGTCTGTTTTAGTCATAAAACTAACTAATAAAAAAACAGAAGTAAAACATTCCAGCACACAAACCAAACACATGTCCGAGCATGACCAATAGGTGGTTTGACCTCAAGGAATGCAGAGGGAAGGTCATAGCTAAAGCAGGACGGTCCAGTTCTTACCTGCGTTCTGATGTGACTGTGCAGAGGAGCACATTTAGGTTTTTGCTTAATAATTTAAAAGTGATCTGAGCGACGTTAACAATCTTTACAAACATCTCTGCCGCAGACGAAAACCTCAACGCTGTTTCAAACACCTACTGTTTATGAGCCACTCAGGAAGATGCAGTGAGAGTGCAAGTGCTAGAACTGACCCCATTTATTTCATCGTTACAGACTGAGGGGTGAGCTGTAGCCGTCCGGCACAAGGACAATTAATCTAATACAGCTCAGTAGTGTTTGCCGTGGTGTGTCTATAGGTGGGCTGGGGTGGGCATTGGCTACCCAGAGATAAGCCTTGCCCACCCAGAGGAATCATCTGCCCATCCAAAAGAAAACTCTGAAAAAAACACTGGTTTAGCTATTTTTTGAGTGTTGACAGTTTTTTTTTTTGGTCATAGATAACTTTGTTATTGCTCATCTAAAATGTTCTGCTTTCCTATTGGCTGTTTTGAAGGTGTGAGTGTGCCTTATTTTACCGCCAAATCAGGCACTTCTTCACATAAGCAGTACAGACATGGTGAAGTGTCTGTACTGGTGGTTGGCATAGTGTAGTGGGTAATCCCTCTGCCTTCTACACTGTAGACTGGGGCTCAATCCCCACGTGGGTAAACACCCTACACTATACCAATAAGAGTCCGTGGGCAAGACTCCTAACACTGCCTTCACCCACCTGTGTAAAATGTAAAATTGTAAGTCGCTCTGGATAAAAGCCTCTGCCAAATGCCGTAAATGTAAACCGGTTTGTAGCTGCTAAACTAAAATCCACTCACTAACTCATACAAATGCTCACTGCTCATCATAAAATCTCACAAAGTCAGAATTTTACAGAGTTTAATTGATTTTTTTTTTTTCATGTTCCTGGACCCCCCTACAAAAATCAGACACTGTAATTATATTCCTTTTGCCCACCGCCCGTTAAACTATGGTGTTGTTTACATTCCCTATTTAGGAAAAGCAACATCGCTGTTGTTGCCCACCCAAGTAATTCAAATGCCCACCAAAGATGGCATCCTAGTAACACCTCTGGTTGTTTAAACCAGACAAGCTTTCCAACCTAAGAACCAGAATATAATGTTGATTCAGCGCAGAAGACTCAGAGTCTGACTTTCTCTCATCAGGAAAATGCTCTGTACTAAAACAGCAGGCAGAGAGGAAAATAACTCACAGGGGGAAATAATTACAGAACCGCAGCACCGCACTCTCAGACCCGCACTCTCAGCACCGCACTCTCAGACCCGCACTCTCAGCACCGCACTCTCAGACCCGCACTCAGACCCGCGCACTCAGACCCGCACTCTCAGCACCGCACTCTCAGACCCGCGCACTCAGACCCGCGCTCTCAGACCCGCGCTCTCAGACCCGCACTCAGACCCGCACTCTCAGACCCGCACTCAGACCCGCACTCAGACGCGCACTCTCAGACCCGCACTCTCAGACCCGCACTCAGACCTGGATATGACGTTACACAGTTGTCGAGAGGCTTAGTAGCTGCTATACGTTGTGTTTTATTACAAGGAGGGCAAGAAATTCACTGCGCAATGTTTTTAGAAGCCTTAAACACTACGGCTGAGTCCCAAATGGCCCCTTATTCCCTACATTCCCACTATGTGAGTTATGAAATTTGGATTTCTACACAAAAACAGAGCACAGTATATCCTGCAGGCACACGTAGCTGAATCTCTTTGTTAGAGATATTATGCACTGTTTGACTGCTGGAGTCTTTATTTTAAGACCTACGTACTGCACTACTTTCACACTTAGAAATGATAGCTCTGCCAGGGGTCTTTAGTGAAGAAAATGGTTCTATAAAGAACCATGAACACTCAAAGAACCCTTTGCATGATAAAAGAGTTCTTTGCATGGTGAAATCATTCGTCAGACTGATAGAGAATGTGCTGTAGATGGTTCTGTACAGAACTGTTTTGAAAAGAGGTCTATAAAGCACCAAAAATGGTTCTTCTATTGTATACAAGCTTGACATTGCAACAATAAAAGATCCCTTTTTGGTGCCATATAGAACTATTTTCAAACAGAACCATATTCAGCACATTCTCTATCAATCTGAGGATGATGATCTCACCATGCAGAGAACTCTTTTATCAGGCAAAGGGTTCTTTGAGTGTTCAAGGTGCTACATAGAACCATTTTCTTTACTCAAGAACCCTTGAAGAACCATAATTTTTAAGCGTGTAGGCCGTTTTTCATTCAGCCTAAGAGATCATGAAATAAAAGGAGGTTTGTGGTCGGGTTTGAGGGGCTGTGTGAACGATCAGCTAATCAATGATGATTTACACCTGTGTGCATTTAACGGCGGCCTGCAGTTATACAGCAGCCACGATACTGCAGCCCGTATTACAGAACCTTCTTAACCTCCTAAATCTGATCTGTTTGGTCTCTGTGTAACTTCAGTACGCACTGAATTTCGGACTTATCTAGTTCAGAATAACAGTTCCTAACTTCCTAATCTCATCATAAACCTCCTAAATCCTGTCCTAACTTTAGGATGAACCCCAACAGGGTCCTCACTTCTGTTTAAGGTCCGTTTCTATGGTTTTTAGGCAGCTGTGTCAGCAGCATAGTTCACTACCAGCATAATGAGCTCCATTTATCTCTACTGTAAAACGCTGCTTTCACTGTGAGATGATTTTCTTTTCTAACTCTGCGTTTTAAAGATCTCAGACGCTGCAGACTCGATCTCCACCGCCCCTCTGATCACCTTCGTGTGTTAATGTTGATGATGAAATATTACAGTGATGGTGGTGAATAATGAGGAGACGGAGCTGAACGTGTGTCTGTTTATTAGGAGGAGTAATGTTAGCGCGCTCGGCTAAAGCGTTTGGGAAATGATGACTGAAACTGGGGAGCGGCGATGCTCTGATAAACAGCAGGGGGCGCTCTCACAATATTCTTAACTTTCAGTTTATCACTCTTTAGTTCTGTTTGACCTTTTTTGTACAGAATTGGGACAGAATAAAAAAAAAACAGTCTTCAAGGAGAATCTGGAGAAACATCTGACTGACTGCTGTCAGAATTTGTAGATGACGTTGCTTTCGGGACACAATAAAATGACTAAAAGCCCCTGTTTAACTACATTAAACATTTTGCCTTACATTAGTTTGTGCTACATACTAATTAATAAGGAATTATATCCATTATATCCTTGGCAACAAATACAGCGTCACAGCATGAAGCCAAAACAACTCTCAGCTGTAACTCTCCTCGGGAAGGAACCCTCAGGTTAGACAATATGTGACTAACTGAATCAAAACAAGCATTAAATATCACGCTGCTGCACGATGGAGGACGGGCTTTAGGGAGAATCTGTTGTTAAAAGGTCTGATTAGTTTGGTTGGAGCTATTTATAGCAGACAGGTTCAGCGCGAGTACAGGCAGACAAACTGCTCAGCTTCAGGAAACAGGAGGAAACGTGAATATTGCATGTGGACGGAGGTAATGGATACTGTTCCTCCAGCCTCCATTGTGAGCCCTTCTCTCTGAGGCGTTGTTCCCCCCAGCCTTTCACTCCTGAGCTCCGTGTATCACTGGAGCACTTTGTTTTGTGAAAGCTGGAAAGTCCAGAACTTTCTTCTCTGAGAGTGACATTACAGCTGCTGCTCTGACGTCTGAACTGTCTGTTTTTCAGTTTAAGAGAAAGGATGCAGAGAGGAAAGACAAACAATCTGCTTTTGTTGATTTTTTTATTTTTGTTTTCAGTAATGGAGTTTGAGTTTAGTGCTATTTAGCACCTTTAGTTGTCGTATTTTCTTATACAATATTAACCTTTTTTATAAATACATATAATTTCGCCTGTTTTGGAAGTCTGTGTGTTTTTTCTGATACAATATATGTTGATGGAAATGTGCATGGGTGATATGGTAAAAACATATCATCATACATGAAGATATGCATCACAATGTTTAGTTTTTCTGAAGTTTGATGACTGAAAAAGCCCCAGTAGAGTCGCATTTAAAAAATATCAAAAACTTAAACAAAAAAAAAATTAAACAGGACTTAACTCTCTTTAATGATACATTCAGTTGGTCGGTGTTCTTTAAGTATCATCAATATCTAAGATACGCTAAGAAAGGCATTGTAATTTATCACGTTAATGATAAAATATATCGCCCAACTCACTACAAAATGATTCTGGTCTTCATAGGTGAACAAGCAGATCAGCATTTATAAAAGTGTTTTTATTCTGTTTAAAGTGTTTTTGTGGAGAGGTGTGAATAGTTTTTCTCCTTTCCCTCTTCATTTCTCACTGTCAGGCCACTAGGGGGCCTGCGGAAGTGGCTACTATTAAAACTTTAAAGAAGTCCTTTATGGATCTAGAACGCCCCCCCCCCAGTTCTAAAGCACGGTATATAAATAAAGCTGTACTCACATATGCATCAGGGAAGGCTCTGTACTTGGCCGCGAGGTTTCTCTCTGGGCCCGGCTCCTGGCCAGCCCCAAACCCTCGCATGACATCGTTAAAGACAGGCGACCCTGCGGACGACCCCTCGGCGCGAGTGGGATGTTTGATGGGCGATTCTGGCGAGAGGCTGTGGTAGAGCTCCAGACTGCGGGGGTGCGTGCTGTTCAAGGTCGGGCTTTCTATGGTGGAGCTGTTGAGGAACGAAGGGGACATGCTTATACGGGACGGCTCGCTCAGCCCTGTGAGGGACCCTGGAGGAGAAGTGAGGAAGGAAAGGCGCTCCAGTCGGGATGTCCCAGATCCTAGAGGGTCAGTGGCTATGGGGGGCATGCTGAGGCGGTCGAGGCCAGAGTTGACCTCAGGCAGGGAAGCTGTTCTGAAGAGAGAGCGATGGCCCAATGCTTTTCCATTCTCCTCTGTCTCTGAACGATAGCTGGAGAAGATCAGGCTGTGGTCCAGGCGGGACGTCCCGAAGAGGCCGCCTCCGTCAACTTGAGTTCCATTCTCCAGATTAAGGTCAGGAAGGGAGCTCTTGCGCATGACGATGCTGCTGATGGCCGAAGCTCGTGAAGGCAGGATGACGTTCCTGGTGAGCAGCTCTGAACCCTGTTGCTCCTTCATCATGGTCAGTGGGGAGCGCATGTCCTTCATGGAGTTCCAGTTGAGGCCCAGGTCTGGAGGGAGGCTGCTGAGGGTCTCTTTAGGCACAGGAGAGGTGGGGCTGGAGAGGAGAGCTGAAGAAAGGCTATGAGCATCTTCTACAATGGGGGGAAGTGAAGAGAAAGGCTGGCTGGAAGAGTTGCGGATGGATCGGTGACGGACAGGTGGCCCCATGCTCTTCAGGGTGTCCAGCAGGGTCTCCATGTCATGGGGGGAGGCGGGCATGGAGGGGTCCGGGCCAGGGTCGGGGACGGCGTCTGTCGGGGAGGACGGCAGCTCCACCCGGGTGGCCTTGAAGACGCCGGAGAAGAAGTCGTCCGACTGCTGGGTGAGCGAGTCTGAGCCTGTGTTTGTTATTCCTCCCTCTCTTTCCACCTCCCTCGCTCCTGCAGGCGCAGAAAGCTCCTCCCACCTCCTCCCACTTACCTCGTTCTCACTGCTCTCCTGGACTTCGCTCCTCAAATTCCGCCAGCTACTGTTGCCAAGGCTACCGGTGGTGTCCACGGAAACGGATGAGGGCGGAGCGTCAGAGGAAAAGGAGTAGGAATGGGAGGAGTACCGTGTTGGCTCACTGCTGGAGCTAGACAGGGAGGAATACAGGTATGTGTTACCTGAGAGGTCAGAATGAGATGTGTCTACAGTAGAGGGTTTGGATTCTTCTCGAATGGACCCAAACTCCTCATACCGACTCAAGACCCTGCCCGACTCATGGCTGGAACCGTTTATATCCGTCAGTCTGTTTTCATTCATATAATGGGCCGAGCCATTGGTGGAGCTGCTGCTGCTGACCAGGGACACTTTGTGAACCCTTTTGCCATCATCTCTGCCCTCCTGAGAGCCTTTAGGCTTCAGAGTTAAAGTGGTGCTCAGGACACCAACTCCGGAACTCATGTCTGTATCTGATCCAGAAGCACTTTCCTCTGGACTCTCTGGGTCAGACTCCTCTGCTACTGTACTGAGGGCAGGGAATGCATGGGAGAACCTAGAATAGAGGAACACAGAGGTGTTTACAGGGTCAAAATCAGGCAAGATTTAATCTTTTTGTACACAACACTCACAGCTCAGCTACAAATGAAAACCTAAAACATCTCTTATATATATAGATTATATATATATATCTATGTATGTGTGTGTGTGTGTGTGTGTGTGTGTGCGTGTGTGTGTGTGTGCATATATATATATGCACACACACAACACACACACACACAACACACATGGTACCATCTTTAAAGGGCAGCAAACTCAAATGTTTGTTTATTTGTCAGCTATTTAGCTAATTGTAATGTTTTAACATGTATGCTGCCAGAATGAGGGTGTATATATGTATATATCTATATAATTATAATAATATATATAAATTTGACAGTGTAACATGATTCCATTCATCATAAAATGTAAACAACTGGTATGTTTTAATTCATTTAAAATAATTATATTATTCAATTTGTTCAGACATTACTGTTGATTATTGATCAGACAAAATATAATTCATGCATATTTTTCATTTGCAAAATCATGTAAAATTGGATTTAAAATACCATTAAAGAAATTCTGGACTTCAGGTCGTTCATAATTGAACATAAATATAAAATAAAACTTCACACTGAATATTAATAAAACATTTCTGGATTCCACACTGCAAACAATGACAGACGTGTTAAAATACTGCAGGACCTACAACTGAACACTAACACTGTAGAACAACTACTTACAGTTCATTCAAACAAAACATCCCCAAAACCTGCATCTTTAAAAAAAATCTTGCCAAAGTACTGACTGTGATACTGCATGAGGCTCTACAGTCTCTGATCAGCTCACACTGATCAACAGATCCAAACATGTGGAGGTTTTATGGTTTATCTCTACATGCTGACTCTAGTAAAGGTGACAGCAGCTACACCAGGTTCAGTGATTACAGTGTCTTATGAATCACAGCCCAGATATCAGCACTAATGCACCAACAACAAACCAGCAAATCTGCCCACAGAAAATACCCTGAATGTCACTGTGTGCATATTTCTCAGGTCACAGCTGCTGTTGCATAACTTCTATTGTCACTGTGGGATTAGACTGCTGTACATGTCTACAGCGTTATTTACCCCTCTGGGCTCTGAGGACGTGTCCTCGACTTGTTCATCTCCTCTTAAACTCTCCTTTAAAGGCTCTTCATATATCATGATCCTCTACTTTCCAAAACCACTGCAGCAGCTTCAGCAGCTGTAAACTCTCTGCATGCCATTTCACATGAGTCTCCGATGTGGACTGAATGAAGAATGAAGGGTTTCCGGCGTGATGGTCAGTCCTTAGTGATTTCCTGAGTGTCCATCGGTCAGTTTCACACAGAATGTAGACGGACACACCAATCCACCAGTTCCACACGGTGAGAGGCAGATGACGTGTATCTCAGCCCCTCTTCATAGGCTCATAACTCCGGATGTGAGTCTCGTATGATCTCGTGATAAGATGGAATGGAAAGGGCGACTCTACAGATTCAGGAAGTGTTTGAACTGGATTTCTGAGCTGGATCATCACAAAGATACAGACACAGATACAATGTGGACCCCAGAGGGTTAACAAGTTAAAATATATTGTCTAACTAAAGTATTTTTTTATATAAAATATATTGTCTAACATTTTTAATGACTGTGTTGTCGGGGATGGTCTTCGCACTAGGCAAAGACAGGCAGTTGCCTGGGGCCCACATGATCACATAAATTAGATATGCTGTATATATTGATGTATTTTTTTTTAAATCCATATATATATATATATAGTTGTAATTTGTGACTGTAGTGATTCTTTTCAGTCATTTCAATGCAGCTCCACCTTTAACCCCCCATCACGGTAATAATGGATTACTCCATGTTGTTATATGATGGCACACCTACCTAAAGACAGGCAGATGAGAACAAGGCAATTCAGTCTTAAAGCTAACTTCACTGTTTCAGTCCGAACAATGCGAGTGTTAACGTTAGTGAACAGCTCCAGAGTTGAATAGTTACTCATTGTTTAATCTCCATAGAAAAGCTGACCAAGAGAACGGGATTGGAGTTGGAGAGGCGTTTGTGATCCAGAACTAATCATCCAACATCACTACCTGACCTCATTAATGCTCTTGTGGTTGAATGCAATCAAATCCTCACAAAAATAATCCGAAATTTAGTGTAAAGCCTTCCTAGGGGAGTAGAGGCTATTACTGCAGCTCAGGAGGTAAACTCTTTATAACACTCTGGATTTTGGAAGAAGCATTGAAAGAGCAGCTGTCCACAAACTTTTGGCCACACAGTGTATGTGCCAATATAGTGAAGTACTTTAATAAAATTTCTTAAAACACGTAAAAAAAATGTTGACGTAGTTATATTTTTACAACCATCTAAAAATATGAGATATATGATGTATCGACAGAAGCACCATCTGGGCCGGTCCTCTCTTTTACCTAGAACCACAAAATCACTAAATCCACCCCTGCGTGTTGCACCGAGCTCCACAAACCAAAACAAACTGAATGTTTAGGTTATTTTTTTCCTTCAAATGCAGTGAATGACCTTAATGCAGCTGAATTCCCTAATAAAAAGGCTTGTCCACAAACTTTTGGACATGTAGTGTAGATGTAGAACCATCTACAGAATTAAATATAAACTATTGTTTAAATGTGAACAGCTTAGTTGTGATGGAATGATTGTTGCCCAGTAAAGTGTGAGACAGTAACAATATTATCTAATTATGAGCGGACATGAGTGAAAACAGCTGATCAGCAGCAGAAACGTTTGGCTCAAAGATAAAAAAACAGAACTGCTGTTCGGACTCAACATCTCTAACTGTATATATGCTACGAGATCAAGTGGAGCTGCAAACAAAGAGGGAGGAAAATAAATAAAGTTTCCAGAGTTGTAAATTTAATGAATTTAAATTTACAGATTTAAACCCTGCAGTGAATAATATTTGGTCTCACATTAAACTCAAACCAGCTCAGCAGTGTTTCTCAGCTGTGTGAAGCCGTCAGTGCTGAGTGGATCAATACTGACTCCTCTTTCTGTAAAAGACTGTTTGAACATTCACACACTAAACTACAGCACTTAAAGAAAAAGATCTCTCCCACACTGACTGACTGCAGCTAACTGTTCAATGATTTGATGTTCAGGCCATTAAAAGCTTAATGTTTTGCCATTTGGGGTCCATTTTTTTCCCAGGAATGCACTAAATACAACAATTTAATATCACAAACCACTGAGCACCTTCAGAGTCAGCCGTCTGAAACTGGTCCTCCGTTACAGTAAAGTATACGGGCTGGTTCTGTGGAACTGTTCTACACTGAGAACACCTGTTTGTCTTTGTGTGTGTACTGGAACATTTTCTGTGACAGATGAAACTAAACCAGTAGACTGTATTGGAACTGGGCTTCAACAAATGGTGCAAGTTCGCCCTCTAAAGGCCAATTATGGAAAAAATCACACTTAAAAAAGATTCTTCAAGGGTTCTTTAGTAAAGAAAATGGTTCTATATAAAACCATGAACACTCCAAGAACCAATTGCATGATTAAAGGGTTCTCTGCATGGTGAAATGGCTCTTCAGACTGATGGAGAATGTGTTTTATATGGTTCCATGTAGAACCTTTGTGAAAATGGTTCTATGTAGCACCAAAAAGGGTTCTTCTATTGTTACAGGCCTGACAATGTAACAGTAGCAGAACCCATTTTGGTGCTATATAGAACCAATTTTACTAAGGGTTCTATATAGAACCATCTACAGCACATTCTGCATCAATCTGAAGAGCCATTTCACCATGCAGAGAACCCTTTAATCATGCAATTGGTTCTTGGAGTGTTCATGGTTTTATATAGAACCACTTTCTTTACTAAAGAACCCTTGAAGAACCATCCCTTTTAAGAGTGTACTGAGTATCTCTCTCTCTTTCTCTCCCTCCCTCTCTCTCTCTCTCTCTCTCTCTCTCTCTCAGAGTGGGCGGGGCTCTCTCAGTGGTATGTTCCTGTCTGACTGGTTTAATAACAGTGAATGGAAATCCAGCCAGAATTCCTTCAGATAAAAATCAAAAGTGTTCTGCTGCTGAAAATCAGAGCTGAGAGCGTCACTCTCGCTTTCTACAGCGCTGCAGCACATAAAGAGTGAAAATACAGGACTCACTGACCCTCTGACCCTGCCTGCCCACTGAAGAGTTTCGACTGAGTTTGTTGAGCTCGGTTTGCTGAAGGATCCGTTTGTGTGTTTTCTTTGCCGTCCAAAGCTCTTCACCAGCACCAAAGATCAAAGGCATCAGTAGTTTTTCTTTTTTGTTTATAGTCCAGCTGACACATCTACACACTACAAAAGAGCATCTTCTCAAAGGCAGTGATCTTAAATCTGCTTGATATATCTAATATTTCTTATTTGGAGATGGTTGTGCACTTATTATGAGATTATCTAGCTTATTTCTAGACCTTTTACTTGTTTTAACAAATTTTATTCAGTAAAATTATTTCACTACACTGTCAGATAATTTTGCTGGTTTTAAGCACATTTCTTTCCCATTTCTGCCAGCATAGTGAGATAACTGTACTTAATAAAATCACTTTAATCAAGTATGAAATGTTCGGAAATTAGTTAAATAATCCTAAAACTCTACTCTTCTGAGAAGGCTTTACACTAGATGTTGAACATTGCTGTGAGGATTTGATGGAGCATTAGTGAGGTCAGGTACTGATGTTGGATGGTCAGTTCTGGATCACTCCAACCCCAAAGGTGTTGGATGGAGCTCCATCACTCCAGAGAACACAGTTCCACTGCTCCACAGCCCAAAGCTGGGGGGCTTTATACCCCTCTAGCCCACGCTTGGCACTGGGCATGGAGATCTTAGGATCATGTGCAGCTGCTCCAGAGCACCTTGTTCTCATATCAATGCTTTTGTATGAAGGTCATACAAGCTGTGTGTGTATCTGAACTCCTGTGTCAGCAGTGAATGACCTTAATGCAGCTGAATTCCCTAA